ATCACATGATCTCGATGACGCAACAATATGTAGTTCTGTTTGACGTATTTGTAGAGTTACGTTGTAAATGTCTTAATCTTCAAACTCGCATGGATTCTAATATAATACTTATTAGTGGTTCATAGTGGCTAGTATTAGTAAGCCAAGAAAAACACAATTGCGTCTGAGCCTCAGCATGGGAAAAATCACACGTCGTAGGTCTGAAGTGTCACGGTTGCTTAAGGACGCCACCTAGCAAGATAAAAGTTATTTGTGATATTTTTGTTATGTATTTGTGTTATTTTTCTAGATTATTATTTTTAAATCACAAAAGCTTTCTTAAAAAAGAAAAAAATGACACGCAGCTGACGCATCCTATAGTTCGAGAACCGCTGCTTACATTAGACTTTTATATCTGATTATTTGAAAAAGAAAAAAGAAATAACTTCACAAATATTACTCACGTTTTTCATTTGATTTCTAGATCATTAGATCCACAAGCTGATAAATTGAGACTCATCTCTGATGTACGAGAGTAAATTTTCACGTTGCACAGAGTAACTCGAAATTATCTCTGCCGCCCAGCGGTCGCAGAAAATACGTTTTTAGCGAGACGTTTCCCTATTTAGTATGAGGGATTTCAAGATGGCGGAGCTTAAAATAGAAGCTCCGCTTGCGAAGACGGAAGAATGGTCAGATTTTAGTGATTTTCAAAACTCTGAAGACTTTGAAAATTCTAACAGGGACACAGAACAAACTTCTGCAGCTAATGATAATTCTTTTGTGGATAATTTTAACGATACTTTTTCGAACTCCCTTGAAGACCTTGTTAACACTTTTGACGAGAAAATAACGAATTGTTTTTACAACTATGATGAAAAGGTTGAGAAGCTAGCCCCAGTCCAAGTTAGGACTCAAGAAGAGATTATGAGTGAATGCCAGTAAGTGTTTTGTTTCCTATTTTCAGAAATGAAGCATTTAATTATGTATTAAATTTATTTGTACAGGCGAAATAATTTGTTTAAATGAAACGAGTAATAGATAATATTAATGAGTGCAGTTGAGACTTTTACTAGTTTCAATTACACTTACAAGTTACAGTTTAACTTGACAATTTTAAGTGTTTTAAAAATAAAATGACTATGAGTATGTCGTGTCTGAAAGTCTAACTTAAGCAGCATTAAATTGTTGATTTACGTATATGGTAATAAGTTAAATTACATGTAAGATATTTGAACAAATTGAAGGGTCATACAAAGTGAAATGAGTATTAATATTATGACTGAGTGTGATTTGTCAATAACGTAATGATGAAGTAAACATTACGTTTAGTTCTACTTAAGGGTATAATATTAAAATATTTAATAATAATATTATTATAGGCACAATTTGCTGATACCATGAGAGGTTAAGCTATACATTCTTACACAGTGTAAGTAGAAATGGTAAATACACAAAATTTGAAAAAGTACATGATACAGGCAGTTCCATCTCTGTGTTATATGCAAGGGGTTGAATACTGAATCAACAGTGTTATTCCTAACTAATACTAGTAATGCTAGTAAAGTGTGTCAGTATTTACACATAATTCAACTTTGAATGGTTTGCATGTGCATAATTTTAACCTCAAACAATGGAATATTAATTTATCAGAAATGCAAGCATTAAGGAAACTAAGTAAAAACAAGAATATTGTAAGTACTAAACCTGATAAAGGTAATAAGGTCATCTTAAACAAAATAGATTACAATGTTCCTGAAAATTATAAATTATATTTCTAAGTTTTTGATTGTAGAAAAAAGGTCCAAGTAAATTTAGAGAAACTAAATTGAAGTTAAAGGAAGTGAAGGCTATATATTTTAATAAAAGAACAATTATAGAAGGAAATAAGACCAACTGCTTGACATGTTGGCATTTTGTTGGATTACCAATAATACATAACTAAATTGTCTTATGAGGTCTATCCTATCCAAAATTGGATATTATAACCTTAAACTACAAACGTTTTTGAACAATTGGTTAAAGGAATTTACATGTAATGAACATATTTTAAAAGACGGTTTTTATTTTTTTGACATCAAATAATTAAAGTTTGATAATGATGTGGTAATAGTTAGCTTTGATGTGGAATCACTATTTACTAATATATCATTGGATAACACCATTGATTTATGTGTAAACTAGATTTATAATAATGAAGGTAGTTTTAATTGTTTACCCAAGGAAATATTTTGTAAATTATGTGAAATAACAACTATATAATCATATAATTTTTTAAGTACATGATTAAATGGATGGAGTTAATATGGGGTCTAGTTTGGCCCCAATATTAGCAAATGTATTTATGTGTTATTATCATTAAACATTTTAGTTAAAAGAATGTCTTAAAGAATTTAAACCATTCTTATGATAATGAAGAAAAAGAGTGTCAGTAAATAAAAATATGAGCGATCATTTCTTGAACAGTGTGATGCCTAGATAAGGGAAAATTTGGATAAGTACTGATTATTCTACTTAGACTGTGCTAACTAGATTGGATTTTAACATTTCTATAGGGACATTTGACTAGTATACAGTAGTAAAACATGCTGAATTTTCAGTTGGAAAGGTATTTAAAAATTTAGATTTTGTGATTATATGTTGTATTTCTTTCATTGACAAACTTTTAAATGTCAGAATGCTTTGTAAAGCTTAACCTTTTTAACCCATTCATGCCAAGGTGCTTCAGTTGAATGCACCTGTTGTATGGTTTGTTTTATTGCATTGCAAAACAAAACCACTGGAATGAAATAATTTGAAACTTGAATTGAACTTTCTACAGATAATTTTTTAAGTACATGATTAAATGGATGGAGTTAATATGGGGTCTAGTTTGGCCCCAATATTAACAAATGTATTTATGTGTTATTATCATTAAACATTTTAGTTTTATATATTTATAAATTTTAATTTTATATATGATATTTACATTTTTACCATACCAGGTGTAGTTGTGTTATTTACAGTGGTAGAAGAAAAACACATATGAGTTTCTTCTAATAAAATAATTACACTGCTAGGTTCATTTCCCTTTATATGAGTTCAGTAGTTGTACATCATATAAAAACTTTTATATTACAAAGATTGTTTTCACACTAATTGCCATACATTTTTATTAATATATGCAAACTTTATCAATTTGTAAAGAAGCTCTGCCTCCTAAGAATTCTTTTTGTAATTTTAGTGACAACCCTTACAGTTGTGGATGAGTAGATTGATGTACATTAGAGTAAAACTAGAAATGTTTTCATACAGCTCATATTTAAGTGATCTAATGTGGATCTCCAGTAAGATGAAATTAGAATACCTAATAGGATTTTAGTTAAATTTTTCTTTTTTTTTTATCTTGTGACCATTCAGAAATCATTAATCTTGCTGAGTTAAAATTGTGACATTCAAAAACTTTGAAAAACATATATCAGCAAAGAGTCTTTGGCACTAGAAATCTGTATTGACTTGGTCACTTGTTATATGGTTAATTTTTTGTCATAGAGGTACACACTGTGCCAACAAACATACCTTATTCAATGATCACAAATTAAGAAACTGTTGGAAGATAGATCTTTCTTTAGGGGTGAAGTGGCAATTAGTAGCAAGTGTGAAAGAAGAAATTTAGTGATTTTCAGTGATCTTGGTATTTATAGTAGATACCATGACAACACAGGACTTTTTAGAGCTGGTTTCTTTGAGTATCTTGCGTGGCGACCGATTTCTGACATACAAAAAGCATACACTTCCCACCCTTCCTCCTCACATTTCTCCAGTGCAGACATTTTCTGCCAAACTTCGAACTGATAGTTTGGTACAGGAGTGTAGAGGGAGTCACATGCATCACATGAGCATGTCATGCACCTATTGGTGAGGAGATGATGCATGATGATTTAGATGCGAGACATGTTGGAATCTTGCAATTCCAAAAGGGGGAAGTGGAAGGCTTGTGGCATGTGAAAAGAAAATGTTTGTATATAGATGGCAGCACTGAACAAGAATAGTTAATCTTTTGAGAGGAGGTAAGTACCTATCCAAAATACATTTTCAGCATAGGAAAATTTTAACTTTGCCTTAGTAATATATATATATTATAAGAGTAATTTACATTAAATTCTGTACTTCAGAGAGGGATGGTAACTAAATTAGAGAAGAGGGAAGACCTAGAGAACAAATATCCAAATTCTCATACTAGAGAAGATTGAAAGTTTTTAGAATATTTTCTTATGAATGTAAGAATTTAAATATTTTATAATATTAAAATTTGATTTATTAAATATGTTTTGATGTCAAGTTTATTTGTATACATTGGTATAACTAAATTTTGAATCGAACTCTGTAAAAGTTTCTGACATGCACACTTTGACTTACTTGTAGCAAAAGAGAGAGTTAAGAGACTGATTAAGCAGAACATTAGAACCTTTTTTTCCTTAACACTGTTAAGATTATTCCCATCAAAATTATACTTATAATTTAAATCGATAACCCATATGCATTACCTTCCATTTATTATTATTAAAATCCATCTGTGATTTATTTGCCCATCCCACCAAGTAATACAAATCCTTTTGCAAAGCAGCAGTATTTTCCTCACAGCAAGCAACACACAAAACCTTAATATCATTAGCATATTTAAATAATTTTTTATCATTCCTTCATGTATCGTTGATGTAAATGACCTAACATTGAGCCCTGAGGTATCGTACTTATGACATTAATCCAGATTTATTGAACAACATTTATAACAATTCTCTGCTTTCTTAAATCCAGCCAGTTTTCTCTCCAGTTAGCCAACCTATCCAACAGATGTATAGAGATAATTTTTTAACAAGCCTTTTATGTGGCACCTTATCAAATGCTTTCTGAAAATCCAGATACACCAAATGTACATCCTTATCCTCATCAACATAAGCAGTAATCTTTTCAAAGAATGTCAAACCATGTTGACTATCCAATCTAATTCTGAACTTTGTTAAATGATTTTGCAGAGTATCTTTTATTGGATTTTCCAAAACTTTTCACACAAGTGATGTAAGACTAAGAGGCCTATAATTATTGGGACAATTTTTATCACTTCCCTTGAAAAGAGGAGTAACATTTGCTAACTCCAATCTTCTGGCTCCTGCCCACTGTTCTTGAACTCACGAAAAATAGTAGGAAATGATATACATATCCTGTCCATAGCTTCCTTTCAAACCTTTGGGGGAATATTATTTGTCCTGGGAGCTTTAATATTTTTAAACTTCCCAATTTTTTGATAAGTTTAATGTTATCATCTTGATTGATCAAATTTTATTAGATAGTACAATATTGGATTGCATATTTGTTTTGTCTTTAGTTACTAATAATCAGTTAAAACTTAATGTTTTTAATTTGAGTTAGAGAGATTAACATGTTTACTGCCATGTGCCCCACTGGTGGGTCACAGCTAGGCAGTATGTTTCAAAGTCAAATTGTACAGGTGGAATACTCAATTTTCTTTGGAATATATTTTACAAAATTATATCAAAGTAAAATCTGAAAAGAAAAGAAACAACAGTTAGTGATTAGGTGAATTCAAAAGAACTCTGATGAATTAGTTGGTCATGCTTACTAGTGGGTCAAGGAATAATATTTTCACTACATGCTGCATGACACACAGGTGGTACACATATCAAAAGTGGCTTCATTGAGCTAATTAAACATAATATAGTACCCATATGAATAGTAGACACCTGGAATAAATATGTTGTTTGAAATTACATACATTTTTAATAAGTGAGTATGTAGGGAGGGCTATGAAATAAGGATTGATCAAGAATTACATTGGTCTTTATTAATTAACTGCTTCATTGCTGGTTAGGTGTAGCATTCAGTTTTATTAGCTTTTGTATATTCTGGATTAATAAACAAAAATGCACAAAATACTATGTCATATA